ACCGCGATCCCCGAAACTGCCCCACAGGGACCCGGTGCCCCCCCCCCGCCCCCCACCGGGATACGGCACCGAGCGGGCTGAACACCGCTGCCCCGGGCTGGGATCGGCCCGGCCCGCACCCCACGGAGCCCGCATGGGCTCGGTGGGCGTCGTCGTCCCCCCCCGCCCCAGCCACCGACCTCGGTGTGCGAAGGACCGAAATAAGGGAGTGAGCCCCAAAGGCGGGGGCCCCCATGGGCAGCAGGACCGGAGGTTTAGGAGCAGAGGGGTCACCCCCTCCCCAGCAGGGTGTTCATCACCCCAGGGCAGTCCCGAACCCCCCCGGGACAGCACCGGCTGCTCCATCCTGCAGCTCTTCCACCCCCCTCACCACACAACACAGGGACACACAGCACCCACCTCCATCACTTTTATTGTGGGGGTTACCCGCAGGATGGAAACCTCCTCCCCGGACTGAAAACATTACAGGGCCCACAGCCCTCCCCTGACCTCGGACCCCCCGGGGGGGGGGGGGGGGCAACATGAGACACAGACCACTCCCCACAGCAAAGGACCCCAAAACCCCCGTGAGCATGGAAAGCAGCTCTGCCCTTTCCCCGAGTCCCTCTGTGGCTTTTCTCCCCTGGCCAGCCTCGCAGCTGCATGGCTCCCAACCACAAGGGCAGGCAGAGCAGGGGGAAAGAGGGTCTGGGGTCCCCACTCCAGGGTTTCAGCCCCCACCGCTCCAGGAATCACCCCTGCAGAGGAGCTGGAGCTGCGGTTCAGCCCCGTGGTGGGTGAGGACGCCGGCGCCTGCAGGTTTCCACACGCGTCCCACCAACGGGCTCCGCCGTGACTCGGCGCGAGCGAGGATTCGCAAGGGAGCGTAGACATGCCGCGTGCAGCCAGTCTCAGCTCACGGACCCCAGTTCCAGGCTCCCGTTGGCGGCTGCTCCACGGGTCTGGGTGGAGGTGGCGGCTTCCTCCAGCCGTCTGTCATCCCTGGGCCCCAGCCGGCACGCTGCCAGCGGCAGGTGACTCTGTTGGGGACAGAAAAGGGATGGTGGGCTGGCTGCAGCAGGACTTGCCTGGGCAGAGGCGAGGGCAAGCCCAGGCTGTTGTCGCTCCCACACGAATTGGTCGTTCCATGGGGATGGGAGCGCCAACAGACTGGGAGACGTTTCCTCTGGGCTCCTGCTTGAAACCAACGGCTACTGCAAACCGGTGGTCTTCATTCAGGGCCTGGGGGGAGAGTGCGTGCTCCAGGGTTGGGGTCCCCCCACCCCAACACTTGGCTCCCAGCAGGGGAGAGGCACTGCAGGGACTCCTCGACTGCAGGGACAGCGTTGGAGGGGTGACAGGGGATGCAGGGTGGGACGTCTGAGGACATCTCCAAAGATGACGCCCTGCGGGCATGTCCAGAGCAAGCCACAGGCTCCGGGCAGGACACAAGAGGAGTGAATTGCAAGTGAAAAATGAGACTCAAAAGAAGCAAAAAGCAGAAGCCCTTTGCCCAGAAGATGACAGCTCCCCTTAAAATCCCCAGATGGGAGAAAATGGGCTTCCCACAGCCGGTAGTCCCCAGCCTGTGAGACATCTCCACCACGTCCCAGACAGCTCCTGCGACACCCGTCCCACGCACAGGAAGAGGGTGGCACTGAGCCACCCACGGAGAAGAGGCGACTGCTCGTCCTCCACCACTGCCCCGGGGACAGGCTCTGGCTGCCACCCCCTCAACACTTCTAACATCATCCAGACCGTGGGCGTAGCACTGGTCCGAACTCCCGCTGCATGGGAGAGCAACCACCCAGGGCTTGGCTGCATGTCTGGAGGGCAAACAGGGACTCCTCCTCCCCTCCCCCGGGAAGACACATCCTCCAGAGCCCTGAGAGCTGTGGTTCAGCCAGAGCAAGAGCTGTGCTACGGCTGGAAGCCGCTCGTGCTCTCCCAGCTGTACCTGCACAGGCAGCTCAGCTGGAGGCTCGGTGGCCGGAGAGAAGATGTGAGCAGAGGAGCTCCCTCTGTCCGTCGGTGCCGTCTGCAGAGGGAGACCTGGGTGGGAAGGCTCCTCCAGGGCCAGTATGTCTATGGGGGCCTCGGCAACTTCTCTAAGGGACTGATCGAGGGCCACAGAAGGATCAAAGAGCAGAGGGGACGGAGGACACTGCATGCCATCGCCCACCACGTCCAGGTCCTAGGAGAGAAAACATTGGGAGCGGCTCATCAGCAGGAGGAGTCCCGAGGAGCCCCGTGGGAGACAGAAGCATGAGTCCTCGCAACCCTTCTCTGCTACCCTCTTGAGAGGAGGGGCAGGAGCGGGCAGGCTGTTTCACTGCTTTCTGGGCACAGGAGGAGGAAGGCAGAGCAGCAGGCACCATGCCACCAGGACCTCCAGCCTCGGGAGCCAGAAAGACAACTACAGGAGCCTCCTCCTCCAGAAATGGCGTGATTCAGGCTGGCAGTGCTGCACTCTGAAAACAAGGTGTGGGGTACAAGGTCCAGAGCCCAGTGTGATGTGTTGCCCCAGAAGCACCCCCGCAGCAGCCAGGAGGGTCCGATCCTGCCTTCCTGAGGACACCCGGAGCAGTCACCCCTCTCCCAGGATTTCACACAACCCTCTTTGCTTGCCCTGACAACATATTGGGAGTGGACAGTCTCTGGCTTACTCCTCCATCCGCCCTGCTCGCTGCCGTCTGCTGCGTGCGTGGATAACCCTGCTGACGTGAGAGGCTGGGATTTCTGCAAAGCTATTGTTAGAAGACTGGATTTGTTTTGGCTTTGGAGGGCGTTTGACATCAAGGCGAGATGCCTGCAACTCATGAGTGGCACTCTACCAGCCTAGCGTGACGTGAGATAAAACACAGATGCCCTACACAGCCGTACGCTGCCACAGCTCCAAATCCCTCCAAGCTGAGGACGGAGGGCTCTCAGGGAGTCTGCAGTTCCCATCCATGCACGGCTCGGGGTACAGGGCAGGAGCAAGGCACCTGGGTTCCTGCCTGAAGCACCTGAAACCTCACGTGGAGTGGGGGACCCTCTCAAAGGACAGGCTGGGGGAGAAACAGTTACGTTTTTCACTTCTGACCTGAAAAAAAATCACCTCCCACAAAGGCTGTTTTCACAGAGAGTGGTGTGCCGGCTCTGTCCCAGAGGAAGGCCGGGATCTGGTCCAATGCCCACTGAAGGCAGAGAGAGTGTTCCCTCGACCCCAGGGGTGCTGGGCCCAGCCTGACCCCAGAGCAGCAGCAGTTGCTCTCCTGTGGCTGCTGCCATGCCCTGGACTCCACAGCTGCTGGCAATCCCTCCTCCATCAGCAAACTCGAAAGTGGTTATGAGATTTGCCTCCTGATAGCAGTGCTCAAGAATCTTGGGGGCACCGAAATACTAAAGCAAGTGACACCTCATTCTGAGGACCAGCTCCAAATGACCATGGTATTTTTTTGATTAAACAAATTTCAGAGGATTTTAAGCATGTAGGCTTAACATACATGCAGGACATCAGAATAATCTGGGGATTAAAATCCTCATGAATTCCTCATGGGAGAGAAGAGGGGGGGGAAAAAAAATCCTCTTTTTAAAAAGCCCCTAAATACGGATTTAAATGAGAGCACAGCCCTTCTGAAGGAGCAGTAACCAGCCCTACAGAAACAAACATCTCCCAAACCTTTCATGTTCCTGTGTGTTTTTCAAAAGACTCTCCTTCCCCAGGCCAGCAAGAATGAAAATAATTCTACATTATCTGTGCCGGGGAGGCAGTGCTTTACATGACATCCACCCATGCTCCACTTGGGGAGCTGCGGTCTGCTGCACTGCAGCCCGCTCCCCAAGTACTTCAGCTTGACTTCATGGCATATAATAAAAACAGAAACACTTGGGGAAGCTTTTCTGCAGGGCACCTTCCTTGCACACCACGGCCTAAAGCACACTGCACAACTTACATCGCTGAACTCCAGGGGCAAGCTCTCCGTGGGCTGGAGCTCAGCAGCACTCAAGTACAGATCTGTGGGGGCAGCTTCCAGCTCCTCAGGGACAGCCAGCACCTGCTCAGGTACGTACATCTGCGGAGGCAAACGGAGATGGAGCGGGCAGCATGGATCCTCCGAAAGGCTCACGGGCACTGGCTTGTTGCAGGGCACTTCCTCGGAGCCTTGACACGGTTTGAACAGAGTCTGATTAGCGTCCTGACAGATGTCTGCGAAGATGCGGTCAAGGGAAACCCGCATGGCAGACAAGCTACAGACACACATCCAGAGGCATAAATGCTCCCCACACACCCAGCCACCCTCCAGCAGTGTTAAAAACCCCATGTTTCTCCAAGGTCAGGAGTCCAGACTCCAGAGTTGCATCCTGACTGCCCAGTGATGTGCGCCAATGTTACTTGCATGACGGAAAACAGGGACAACAGCAACAGCTTCCCAGTGGGGGCTGGGAGATGTAGTTGGATCCCTTTAAAGCACTCACAGATCCTCAGATGGAAGATATTACAAATGCACAGGCTTACTTTTATTTGCAGACATCCATTTAAGAGGCATCTGCACAAGCCTTAACATCTAACACGCAGTGGAGATACGAGCACACACAATGCTTTTTCCACAGCCAGGAGTTTAGTTCCGGTATTTCTATCTTCCCAGTGCATTTTCCTTCCCAATGGAAAACCTATTCCTGCCAGAGGTGTAAATGGGATTTCCTGCCTTTAATCACAAACAGAAACCCTGCTCCAATTGCATCGCACTTGCAGAGCAATCCACCAGGAGAGACTAGCTACAGACCAAATCCCATCCTCGCCCAAGAGCCCTGCAAAACTACAGACGGACCCACCGCTGAGGCTGTGTAAGGGTCTTCATAAACAATGTTTTACTGATAGTCATGACGTTTCTACTTACTGCTGCAAGGAACAGTGGAGATTATGTCACCAAGTGAGCAGCGAGGCACAATCTCCATGCAAGTGATAATCTGGAGTTGGGGCCAAAGCAGATTTCAGGTGTGGATCATGTCTTTCACGTCAGATACCTCAATATCAAACCCACCCAAGTAACTGCCCAGCCATTCTCGATGTTTGTGGAGTTCACACCGTGGTTTCCTCCTCACACAGCGCAGCATGTAAGGGAGAGTAAAAAAGCCCCCGAACTTCCAAACCCACGTGAACTGGCAAAAGGTGCCAATTTTAACCCAGTTTCTTAAGCTGTCTAGGTTTCAGATTTATCCTTTCCTCCTCTCCTCCCTGCACTAAGGCAGCTGTAAAGGCACCGATACGATTTCCCAGCAGGCTGTGGAGAGCCCATAATCTGTGCTAGCAGCAACGGTACAGAGCCCAGCCCAGAGGAGCCAGATCTCTCAGACACCCGAGGGCAGATGTGGTGAGGAAAGCGTCTCTGTATGAACAGCAGGGTGGGGAAGCCAGATTTTAATCTCTCTGAATGACTCCCAGATCAAGCACTGACTTTATTGGTAGCCAAAAAGCATGGATTGCCAAGATGACAAAATCACACGCTCCACCTGGAGCCCAACAGCCCAGCTGGGTTCGGCCCCTTTAATGCATTGTCACAAACAATCCAGCTCCTGAAAAGCAAACAAAGCCCATGAGCCTCCCAACAATGCACAAAGCAGAGCAGACTGCAGATGTTATCGGCTCAGCAGGGCTAACCAAAGTAAAATCTTGTTTGTGTCAGTGAAAGTCAGCTGACAGCTCAGACATAAGGAAATCAAACCTCGCTTTTTCCACTCCCTTCTCGGCCTGCTCTGCTCAAAGCGAGCCAGCTGCAAACAGCAACTTGCTCAAACCATTTTAAAGGTATCTACCCTGTCTTTATTTTGAAGTATATGGTCACTAGAGAGAAACAAAGGCAGCTTCCTACTCCCTGCACATAGCTGGAGTCAAGTCTGCTAACTTCAGTAACAAAACAAAAAGCTCAAAACAAAATGAAGAGCTCATCCTCCCCCTGGCTGCCAGCTCTGCTCTGGGACCCAGCGCCGGAGCTTCTCCTGACTCACACCAGCAACAGCTGCTAACACAGCTCCGACACAATCCAAACCTGCTCCTGGACACATCCACCCAATCCTGCTTAGACAAGAGCTGTGCAGATGAACCCAGGGCAATGCTCTGTTTGCGGATCCCATGTTGGGGCAGTGATCCCTGAGCTGGGGGGATCCCAGTGGAAATTTCAGTGCTGGCTCTCAAAGAGCCAAGGCTGTTTCGGGAAATCAAACAGCTCAAGGCTGTTCACACACACGTGCAAACCTTTCAAGGGATCAAAGGAGACTGAGCTGGTCCATGGCAGCCCCAAACAGGCTAGGAACTACTCCCTCATTCAGATCCTCCCCCAAAAAAATCACTGCGCACATGCTTCAGCAGTCAGATACCCCTTCCTACAGACATCCCTCAAGCTGGACTCATACCAAGAGCTCACAGACCCTACTCAGGTCGGCTGTTGGCACTCAGCACCGGGAACCAAGCAGACTTGCTTCTAGCCTCTCTCAATACGGCCAGAAATTAGCTCATGCCTCCCTCAGGTTTCATGAGGTTCCCCTGTCCCTTCCAAGTGAACTGGCCACCCCGTTTGGATGCTTGGGATCGGCCAACATACTGCAGGAAGGCTGCAGCGGGACCTGCCTGGGCACAGCTGAGGGCAAGCCCAGCCTTTTGTCACTCCCACATGAATTGGTCGTTCCACGGGGACGGGAGCGCCAGCAGACCGGGAGACGTTTCCTCTGGGCTCCTGCTTGAAACCAACGGCTACAGCAAACCGATGGCCTTGATTTAGGGCCAAAGAGAAAAAAGGAGGATCAGACACACTTCAAACTGCCAGCAAACAGTCAGGAACTCAGCCCAAGGCAGCACAGGCAGATCAAAGGATACGTGTAAGGCAGTGCCTGGTCATCGGGAGGGACTGGTTCGAGCATCGGACATCGTCGACAAAGGCCAAGCACCTCTGGCTGGAGCGGGTGGTGTGTGCCTGCAAGTCCAAGAAAAGAGCTCAGAGCTGCACCAGAGAGTCGTCCCGCTCTGTTCCAGAGAAACCCCCTCGGCTATACAACACTTGCATCCCGCTTTCAAAACATGCCAAGACCAAACTCTCAGTTCCACTCCAGCAGAGCCTAGCTCCTCATTACATCTTTCTCATTCAAGCTTTTATTAAACAGAGCTGAGATAATAAGGCACAACTCGATTTCAATAGGAAGAGCTTCACCTCAGAAGTATGTCTCAAAGAATGAGGTCTCTCAGACCTACCTTCCAACTTTCAGAAGTCAGTTAATGGAATGCTTTGAATTTTAAGTTATAAAGAAATGGCTGCACATAGCTTCAAATTTAGGATCACACGTGATGGAAGGCACCTGCCTTTTGGTCCCCATAGGTCTAGGAGGGGTCTGGGTTCCACCACCATAAGGAGTTTTTTTCCACACATTTTTCAGTCATGAAATTCAGGCCACCTCATACTGAGCCCTCCCTTTCAAAAGAGAAAATTCTCCAACCCCATGCTTGAACTTCTGCAGTTTTGATGCCCATTTAAAGTGACCCTAGGAACCGCCAATGTTTCAGCCAACGTATGGATACTGAGGGTGCTGGCTGGGACCAGACCTCTATGTCCTTGCAGAAAGGGTGTTATAAGGAGCAATCCAGCAGGGCCAGAGCAGAGCCAGCCTGGGATCACTTCCAGGAAGGGACGAGAGGAGAAACCCAGCTTCCAAGCGAGGCTATAACTCCAGCCGGACCCAGTCCCCAAGCTGCTGACACACCTGCTGGGCAGCGCCATCGGTCGCCAGCATCCTGCGCTCCTTCAGCTGCCGGTGGAGCAGGGCCTCCACGCCATAGCGCTGCCGGTAGCGGCGCAGGCACTTCAGGCGCTTCAGGTTCTCACGCTCCTTGGCCATCAGCCCCTCCGGGCCTGTCAGAAGGCTGCTGCCTGCAGGGAGTGAGGGAGGGGTCAGAAAATACCACCCCACCTGCCACGTCCTTCCAATTTTTTTGGTACCGAGAGCCAAAATCAGCTGTCGAGAGCTCCAACAGCTGACTAATGGCACAGATGTCAACGCACAGAGCGAACGAGCAGTGAGAGTTGCATGTATAAACAGGAAGCACATCTTTTGAGTTACACAAGAAGGTGACAAAGCAGATTCCATCCCGAAATTTATCCCAACTTCTCTGTGCACATGAGGAGCACTTGGGCCAACAGAATATTTTAAAAACGTCTTTTAAAATAATTTGGCCGCTCAAAAGTCTATTGTGATTTCTGCAGGCAGCATAGGAGCTTGTCAAATTTCAGCTTGCCCCTGCGTACGTTCTGGAAGCTTCCTGTAAGTACTCCCAGCTGTAATTACAGGGCAACGCTGGGGATCTGCTTTTCTATTACTGGTTTGCTAAAAAGAGTTTTACAAAATTGTTATGTACCAAACTTTCAGTTATTTTTACTTGGGACCGAGCTGCATTATGCCATTTTCCAGGATGAGCTATTATAAGACTATGCTAGAGAAAGCATTCTTTGCACTGCAATACTTGCAACCAGTTATACAACCCAGTTCTGCCTCTGCTAAACTACAGACTCCTGCCTCCAAGATCATATTCTGTACAGGGAGAATTCCAACCGAGGCAGAAGAGCTTTTGCAAAGGAAAGTTGCATCTGTGCTAAGGAGGAATATGTCATTACAGCAGTACCGGTGTAACTACTGAAACAAACTTCTGCTGATACAGACAGGACCTTACAGATGAATAAATTTTTTGTTTATAAAACCAAAAACAGGAAATCCCATACAAAAAAAGAACTTTTGTCTCAGAATTAACTTTGTAGTCTCATTTCCTGACAACACTGCAAACTTTGAAGAGCAAAGAAATCCGGCAACCTTTCTAACCCAAACGATACCAATCTCTGGGCATGAGGCCAGACACAGAAATACCTTCTCTAACCGAGTTTCAGGCCTACAGTAATTTTCACCCGTACTGAGACAGCACTGCTCTGAAATCTGCTTCTACAAAGGCAAAAGCCACGTTTTTGTTTTTTTTTTTAATGTAGAGTTCTGCATGTGCTTTAGAAAAGCGCTGTGCCCTCAGCCAGAGGAATACAGATCAGTGACTACCTGTACCAGTACTTGCCTATGGCTTCATGCTCTCCCTTACGGCTGTGCAGGTATCGGCGCTTCTTCTCCTTCAGAAGGTGCTGGAGCCGTTTGAACTGGTCAATATAGAGAGACTGCAGGCGAATCAGCTTCTCTCGCATGATCAAAGCCACCTCCTCAGCTGTGTATACACCAGCATGCCTGAAAAACACCCACCCAAACAGGGTGAAGTTTGTAAGGGTCCCTCGGGGCTGTTCTCCTGACCAAATGACACAGACCTTATCAGAAACATGGGCTGAGCAGGGCTAGATTATACAGATCAATGGGTATGAGCAGAAACAACGAATTTATGCGTTTTTTTTAAGTTAAGAGATCACCCAGGGACTGCTGCTGAATGGACCACTCCACACTGAAAAAGGATGACCATCAGATACTTCCCAGAAGAACCATCAGGTCCAAGACTTGTGAGCATTCATGCCTAACAACTCACCAAGGCACAAAGTCCAACTGCAACACCATTATCATCACTTCTTTAACATAACTGCCATCTCCTCTGGTACAACACTGAGCTCAGAACGCTCCGCACGCTGCACATGTGTAAGCAGCCGACAGCCACCAGCACCCAACTTACTTCAAGGGATCCTCCTGGTCACTATCGATGCTGTCAGCCTCGCTGTCTGGGTCCCCTCGCCACGTCTGGTCCACTGTGATAGGGTCCTGCTCACCATCACTCCAGCTGTCCTCATCTGAAAAGACAAGTCACCCTCAGGGGTAGGACACTGTCCTACATCCTAGCACAGGACAGCTCGGCTCCACAGCTGCACAGAGGTGAACTTGCTCTGCCTCTTTCCAAGAGAGACGTCTCCCCAGCACAGTGTGAGCAAGGGACATGGAACAACAGGAAACCCACCAGCTCAGCACGGCCAAAATACACAGCTCCTGTGGAGTGACACTCCTGCCTACCCAGGAACCATGAACTGCCGGCTGGCCCCAACAAGTGACCCTGCAAGACAGGAAGCTCAGCACTGAGCCAGCATTTGACAGGCACCGCTACAGACTAACCCAGCAAAGAGGGAAGCTAGCTAACATTTCTATTCTGTGAGTGCAAGGGAAGAAAACCAGCAGGATTTTGGTCTGGCAGTGTGACGTGACTACAGTCAGTAGCAGGCAAGACATGCCAGGGTTTGCAGGACACAATCTTTTACTCACAGACCCCTGGGATTCTTGACATTTCCACACAAAACTGAGAAATCCAGGTCCTCTCTCACCAGTTTTTGTTTTCAATTCTTACCTAGGATCCGACTGGCTTCGCTGCGGCTGCTCTCTGCAGTCTGAGAGCCCAGCTCTGTTTTGGCATAAGAGCTAAGCTGGCAAAGGAGAGTCTCGCTTACAGGCCCAGGACTGGACTTCTTCATCTGAGCTTGGAGTGCCAGAGCGTTCCTACGGGCATGCTCCGCACAGAACGACGCACTGCAGGAATAAACCACAAGCTCGTTACGACTCCAAGCCCTCAGCCGGCAAAACAAACAAGCGATACAGTGAGAAACACTCCCTGGCACCTGGAAAGCACATCCCCTCCACAGCTCTCTCACAGAGAGAGCCGCTGGCTGCAGGTACAGCTTGGCAATGCCAGAGAGCCCCGGGTGGCTCACAGACCACACACCACTGCTGAAATGCCACCTCTGGCACTGGAGTTGGCAGCCACATGGCACAGCAGCAGGGAGAGAAAAGAGCTTTTTACATAAAGCCACTGAGGTGAGCTCTTCTGCTTCCAAATATCCACACTAGACTCTCAGTTTCCATGCAGAGCACGCTGGCTCACGTCAGATGGATCCTTTTTATCACAGAGGAACCAAGGGCAGAATGAAGACTACCAGTGTCCACATCCCCATAACCTCCGAGAATGAAACGCAGGTCAATGCTCCCGTAAGGGAAACTGTGCTCTGCTGACATGCTTACTGAATGTCAGTAACTGTTCTAGGTCCTTCCATCCATAGCATTTTATATGCATCAGAGAAGCAGCAGCACAACCAGGTCATCAAGCCCATGTAATACACGACTAGAATATCTGTGCTGAGGATCATCCGTAAGTACAGACAGCGGCAAGTTAAATTTGCTGGGCTGAGCAGAGGTATGGCACCGCGTGGGCGCACGTACAGCTCTTACAAAGGACCTGGATCACTGCAGCCACCTTCTGATGGCAGAAGGCAGCAGCCCAACAGTCCTGCAGGACCAAGATGACTCCATGCAGTGTCCAGCACTCACAGAGTCTTTTTCTAGCTTAAAAAAGCTTCAGAAAGAGAGTGCCACTTGTCTGAGTTAACGTAAATGCAGCAGCTGAATCAGGAGAAAGACCTTCCCCTGCCCATTTTAATTCTATATGGTATAGAACTGGAGAACCAGGAGACAGAGGTACTCACCCATCTTTCTTCTCTGGTTTGGGCGCAGCGTTGGGACACCGCTTTCCATTCTTTGTTGAAACATAACTGCACTGCTTGAAAGGGGCACTCCTGTCTTCAAGAATGTGCTTAATACAAAACTCCTGCCCCTCCAGCCGTGGCTGGGAGCACTGGCGGTGGGTGAAGGCACATGACAGAGGCTCCTGTGGCCGCGGCACAGGAGTGAGGCGTCCTCGGCTTGATGGCAAAACATGGATCCGAATTCTGTTCATGCCAACACCTGCTCGAGAGATGCAGACCAGTTAAAAGAATGAAACAAACTACTGATAAAAAGAAAGAGCAGCAGTATCTGCTAACACCTGCTAATGCATCTGAATAAAACTTTGACCCCCTTGAACAGACAAAAGATGAAGCTGCTCCTATAGAACCAGTTTCTTCCAACACCTGAGGAAACTTTTAGCTTTGCAGCAACCGCATTTCTGCACAGAATGAAATACCTCTCACTCACCTGAGCTACCAAGCAGTAACATCCATGCCAAGGTGCAGGCACAAGCACTACTGCCTGGCAGCATTGTGGCCAGGGGGAGGATAAATGTCCCAGAGATACCCCTCTACCCCCATCACCCCAGTGCAGGACCCTTTCCTCCCAGCGCACAAATCCCACAGCTCCATACCCTCCCAGGGTACAATGCTCCCTTCCATACACAGCCCACCAGCCCCATACAAACCCCATCCCTTCACAGCATCATCTGTGTCCCCCCCAGCCCACAACCTCTTCCTCAGCAGGGACGATCTCCCAACC